ACAAGTTGTTAGACGGTAATGATTTTGGCGACGATAGTGACTTTATATTGGATATTAGGGATAGTGGTATCGAAGAAACGAAAATTCGTGATGGTGCCGGTGAAGATTGCGTTGAAGGTGTCCCTGAAGGTGACGGTCACATGCGGCGCCTAGGAAATTTCCACAAGCCCTTTTGTGAAGCGGAAGGTGCAGTCCTCATGGAAGGAGGGGCCCAAAACCTTAGGTTTAACACAAAGGCTTCGAAATCGACGACATACCCATTTCCGACCCTCTCTCATTTGCTGTTGATGGGGTTAGTCACCAAGGAGCAGATGTCACGGGCGGCATTGGCCGGATTGTTATTTATGCTTCGTTTCAAAGACTCCAAAACAGGGGGCGGGTTTGACATTAACGACTTAGACGGCGTACAAGCCGAACACTTCGTTGCCAGGATGCGCAACTGTATGAACTTGTATGAAGTGTACAAGAGAGACGTGCGATGCTCACCCACCGCCATCGCTGCCGGGGGCAACGATAGCACTTCAGTTGTATACGATGTGCCGGCGAACTTGATAATCAAACGGCAGCTGGAAGCTTCCTCGTCGATGAAGACGTTTTTAAAAAACCCGGGAGGAAAGCAACTTTCTAGAAACGAGGCGATCCAATCCAGGCTGGCTTCTGAGCACATATTTTGTGGCCCAGAGAGGCCTGTGGGCAACAGAAGACGTGCAAACATGCACGGCATCCTAGCTAGATCAACCCCCCACTATGGCTACGACGGTATTAGGCCGCCTAGATCGAGAGGGAGGACAGTTCACGTAAACGACGTCGCAATTGTCGCAGCCCATCAACCTCAAGATGATGGATAATGTGACAACGACAAACAGGATTTGCCGAGTCCTGGGGATTTGATGGGATGCTGAAAAGGGGAAAATGTTAGCGTCAGTGCGCCCGTTCATACCTGCTATCGATGTCGCGGGGGAGCAAGACGGTGGCGGGGCGGTTTTGACAGCCTACGGCGTACAATTCCTGAGAGTGTGGGAGCCACAAGGCACAGACAAGTCCATTACCGAGGAGGTGGGGACCACCGACATCCAGGACTTGTGCGAAATATACCCGGAAGCCGAGGTGACAAATCGCCAAGGCAAAATCCCCGACTGGAAAGAAGGGGAGCGTGTGGGCGACATACAACCGCTGGCTGCTGTCGGTGTAGCGTTTGTTGTTCGCTACAAGCATCGAGGTGGAAATCAGAAGCGAAACGAACCCGGTGGCGCAGCATCATTGGCACCGCCGCAATACAAATGGTCAGACCCATGCAAGCTGGAGGGCACTCTGGATGAACCGCTTTTCACCATCCGCGGAGACGATTACTCTCACAACGTCTCAAACAGGCCGTTCGTGAGCGTGCCAGTCAACTACCACATTGACGGATTCAATGCACATGGTCTCGGAAACAAGAAATCGGTGGGAGGGTCGTACCTGAGCTGGGCGTGGAACAGCTTAGCTTTGCAGAGAAAAAAGCAAGAGATACACGTTGCCACAGTCGCTTCTCCAGGGGCGTCGAGCGAGGGGGAGATGCTTCTG